GCGATAAAAGGGATAAAGTACTCAGCAGGTAGTGAACATGAAGTAAATAATGGTAACTGTTGTTTTTACTATGCCTTGACCTCTCAGCAGACTTTTGTGTTACTAACTAGAGCTATATAAGGACCCTGGTGGCAGAATAGTTAATATATAAGGAATCAGAGGTTAGTGGTTTGAAGCCACCAGATCCTCAAAGGGAGGAAGATGGGTGGTCTCCTCCAGGAAAGATTTCTACCCTCTGAAGCCCAACGAGGGTTCACTGTGAGTGAGCACTGACTCCATGGAGCACCACCAGGCAGGGGTTGTGTCTGCCTTTGGGCACACTCTACCCCTTACACTTTGCACAGGCCTTTCCACACTGCAGGCCTATTTATTAGTAAAATCAATTAAGAGGAACTTTTCCTTTCTTAGCACAGGAATCAAACTTAAGTACTCAGCAATAACTGAACTCAGGTTTAGGAAATCATTTTCCAATTACCCTCCAGTCTGTCTACAGGTCAAATGTTCTTATAATGTCTCTGTTTCTCTCTCTGTCATTGTCGTTGTGTTGACGCGAATTCATAGCTGAGCCTCCAGGGATCGTCTAAGGCTGAAATCACAGTGGAGGAGATTGCCTGTTTTTCTCCTACAGAGTTACCTGTGGATTTGAACTCGCTGCCTTTAGGTTAGAAGCACAACCGTCTATGGGCCATGCCGCCAGAGCTCCTTTACAATGTAGACTTCATTTATTTATTTCATTTGATAGCAATTTCTTATTGTAAGTGAATAAATTGAGTTATTGATATTCTAACACATATTTTTTCATTGACTTGGGAAATATGCATGCATCCTGAGAGAAGTCTGCTCTTGCTATTCTGAGAAAAATTGGGATTTTGCAGCTGTAGACCTGAAGATGAGAGACTAGACCTGGTTTTATCTACCACATTAAGGATTGTCAGTTGGGACAGGGACCAGAGAAGGCAATAGACTCTGGCCATTTGGTATAAAAAGAGTTCATAAAAAAATTAAATAAATGCTTTTTTTAAAGGCTTCATAAAAAGAGCAGCAGTAACTGGCATAGGACAGGGAGAAGAGTCACAAAAAGCTTTTATTAGATCTATGATTTAAGTACCCACATCAGGCACACCACTTCCTGAACAGCACGCCTCCGGAAACTCTGAACTTCGATAAATGTCGATAGCTATAGAGGGGCTTCAAGCCTTTTGTTCATGGGGTCACTATGAGTCGTGCTCAACTTCGAAGGCGATCAACAACAATTAGGCAAAAGTGACTAAAATATAAATCACAGAAGCAAAACAGACATGGCAGTTTAAGTTTACACCAACATGAATCACGCCCAGTTTCTTGGTCTTCTGCTTTCAGTTTGACTTGAGGCTATTTAATTTGTTATGACATGAGAAAACGAATTGAGCTAAACATTTTCATTAAAAATATGTTCCCTGCAAAAGAAATGTTATGGAACATTCTTCATTATCATTATTTTTACGCCTATTTATCACACATCCTTTCTAAAAACCTTCATTAGAAGATAAAATGATAGAAGTCATTACATTGAACACAGATACCTGACTGACATCCAGCCTCTTCCAGTTCTCCAATTTCCACTCTGAAAAACATAATCACACAAGAGATCTGATGATAGGGAGTTTTCGAGAAATAAATCCATTAATATTTAATGATGCTCATAGTGCACCCCACTATGTACAGACAATATTAAATGAAAAACCTAAGTATCAGAAACACTTCTGTCTTCTGAGCCCGTATTTGTCAGGAACATTTCCGTTTTCTGAATGTAGAAACCAAAAAGCGCATTGCTGTCTCCTCAGAATGGACTCACAGCTCAGCCTGCAGCATGTTTCCCGGGGCAGGAAATCACACAGAAGGTACCTGCCCATTTTTCTCCCTTAGAGCAGTTAGTAGATTCAAACTTCCTGCCTTTGGTTTGGCAGCACCATATCTTATCCACCAGGCCACCAGAACTTTACCAGTGTGAAGGTGTTCGAAAACAACACAAGACGTATATTCTAAAAACAGAATATTTTAAAACAGTCTGAAAATAAGTATGTGGTTATTTCTGTGCTGGTTCGTGAAATGTTTAATATATGCATTTGAAGGCAAATGTTCTAAAACTGCAAAATGTTAAGGAAGGGAAGATGGAATAACTCAGTGAGACGGCCAACAACAGTGTCCACCTCAGTGAAGGTACACAATCCTGTTGCAGAAAGTAAACACTATTGTTAGATTTTTATGTCACTTCAAAGAGATTTTTTTTTCCCATCCGTCTTCAGAAAAGAAAGCTCAGTGGATAAAACTAGATAAAGCCAGGGGATATGACCAGAGGGTCTATGCCTTAACCACATCACCTTCCTCCTATGCTGGGCCAGAGCTTCCTTTGCAGGACCACCTCCCTACCTTTTCTCCTACCCTTGCATTAGACCTGTGTTCACAGTTTCAGGGCCTGTTCTGCCCTCTGGGTTCAGTGAGTCACGAGACTCAGAGCCTTTTGCAAAGATGCAAGGAGCCTGCCCACACACCTGGCCCCTCTGATGAAGAGGCTGGAGGTCCGACTCAAGCTGACTTTAACACAGCATTGAACTCTTCCCAGTTCCTCCTAAACAGTCTCTCCAGTGCTGCTTTCTTCCCCCTCTTAGACCTCAGGCCACAACTTTACTTGCAGAAAATGAAGAGGCCTTGAAGGACTTGTTGTATATGATCAAAGACCATAGTTTCAATATGAATGACCGCTCAACATCAAGGAAACAAAAATCCTCACCAGTGAAGCAAGTGACAACATCATGATGGATGGAGAAAAGATTGAAATTGTTAACAATTCCATCTTACTTGGGTCTACAATAAACACCTAGGGTATCAGCAGTCATAAAATCAAAAGACATTGCTGCACTGGGAAAATCTGCTGTCAAGGACCTCTCTAAGGCATGCCGGATCCAAACCATAGTTTTACAATTGTTTTGTATGCTTCTGAAAGTTGGACAAAGAATAAGAATGGAGACATTGATGCCTTTGAATTATGATATTGGAGAAGAAAGAGTACTGAATACCCCAAGGGCTGCCAAAAACACAATCAAGTTTGTCTTGGAAAAAGGGCAACCAAGGTGCTTCTTAGAGCAAGGATGGTGAATGTTAACTCACACCCTCTGGACATGTTGTCAGGACGGGCCAGTCTCTGGAAAAAAAGACATCATGACTATGTTACGGTCACTGTGTTAATATATCTTGTTGAGGGTCTTCATCGCTTTCTCTGACCCCCACGTTTCCCAGCATGATGTCTAACACAGTGACCGGAACACGTGCTTGAGCTCCTCAGAGATTGGAAGGATAGTTACCATCAGGTTGCACCCTGTCTGTTGCAGGTGAAAGCGTGGTAGATCCAGACGTGTTGTTAGCAGGGCTACTATAAGTTGCAGCTGACTAGTTGGCACCTCACAACAACAACAATATAAAAAGGACAAAGACATACCTTTCAAAAACTCATCATCAAAATGCTGGGCTGATACTTTCTGGGGAGACTTGATTCCAGCTCCCCAAGCAACTAAAGGAGTGAGAACCTCTGAAGGATGGCCAGCCCCATGGGACCCTACAAAGAAGGCATGAGGTTAATAAGACAAACATATAAAAACTAGCTTATACATAACGATTCTATATTCATTTTTTAAAAGCTTCAAATAGCCCATACTAATCCCAGACACAACTTGCAAATGCTCACTATTTTGTCTAACAAATAGCTTGAAAACATTCTTATAAAGTAAGTCAAAGCATCAAAAAATCAAACATCAAAAAGAGTAGAAGATTTGCAGAGTCTCTCTGGATAACAAGAAAAAGTAGCTTGATATGTATTTCTCCTGATTAGTTACTAGAATTAAAGTAGACTCCATCCACTTCATGAACATACTAGTGTAAACTAAATAAGCACTTTGGTTACACTTCTCCTTGGAGGCTAGGATTTGAAGCTCCATCTCACATACTTTGGGCACATGGCTGGGAGAGACCAGTCCTTGGAGAAGAAGATCATGCTCAGAAGAGTGGAGGGACAGCGCAGGAGAGGAAGACTCAATGAGATGGATTGATACAGTAACTAGGACAAGAGAAGTTGGTGTGCCAAAATTAGCAAGACTGGCTCAGGATAGGGCAGGGTTCAGAGCTGCTGTACATAAGGTCGCGATGGGTAACGGGTCACTTGGCGGCACATAACAACAACAAGGCACCTAGTCCTCACGAGCCACAAACTTGCCATACTATGTTTACCACTACTTTAACCTTAAGCTGCACAACACTTAGAGACAGACTAACCTGAGTCTGTCATTCCATGGTCAGAGGTAAAGATAAATGCAGTCTTCCCATCATTGCCATAAAAATGCTTAAATATGGACACGATTTCTTTCACTCCATCATCAAGCTTCTTAAGAGCGACTTTATATTCTCTGTTTGGAAAAAAAAATAAATTAATTAATAAAATTATTTTTTTAACATGGACTCACTATATTCAAAGGCAGTAACTCCTGAAAGCTCTTAGATTAAATCTTTAATATTTTAAAGCCATAGTTCTAGGAATTGCAGAAAATGAAACATTTTTGCTTCATTTAAAGAAGAGAAAGAATTTGACTCATAAAGGCTCCAACCATGGAAAATCTTTAGTAAAAGACCAAGGACTAGTACGCTCCAGAGCGAAGCCTGAGCCTGAAGAAGAGAAAGAATTTAAGAGCTTCCAGGATTAGGATCAAAGAAAGGCACTGACCAGCAAACACAGTTTTGAACTGCGTTTTAGTTGCAACTGTAATAATAATTTTTAGGTTCATATTTCTCATAACATAAACTGTATTGTTTTGTTTCCTTAATAAATTAGTACTATTGATTCTAGTATAGAATAATCTATCCCATAAATTATTTAGAATATAAAATATAATGCAAGTTCTGTAAGTCATATTCAGGTTCTTTATACAGTTGAACAAAGTTGGTTTGGTGAAAATTCCATCCCATGGAACAGTACATTGTGTTCAAGGGTTGTTTGGTCCAAAGTGGCCAATACCAGTCCATCTCAGCTCACTACATTTGAGATGTTGATCTTTATGCATTCCATTTCCTTTTTACCAGCTTGTGATTTTCCTAGCTTCATACTTTGTACATTCTATGTTTCAACTATTGACGGATGTTTGCAGCTGTTTCTATTTGAATCTTTCCATATCAGCAAAGGAAGGTCCTCTACTGGATGCAGGCTTTACTCCGTCATCAAGGCTTTACATCATCAAGATAGACTTGGCTTTGAGGAGACAGCTCTTTCTAGTCACATTTTGAGTGCCTTCCAACATGAACTCATCTTCCAACACTACATCCAACAATGTTCCAACGTTATCCATAGGGTTCTGAGGGTTTGTTATTTCACAAGTGGACAGTCAGCCCTGCTTCTTAGAGGGTTTTAGTCTGGAAGCTTTGATGAAAGCTGTCTACTATGAGCAATCCTGTTAGTATTTGAAACAATGTTAATATAGCTTCTGGCATCACACGAACATGACAATAACAATCTGGAACAAGAAGTTCATTACAAAAAGGACTGGGACAGGGGAATGGAGGGGGAGGATGGAAAATATGCGTCAATGAATGAAAACCTATCCTTTCTGTAAACTCTGTTAAAATCATAGGGTTTTTTTTAAAAAAAGAAAGATATTAAAAATTATCATTAAAAAGATATAAAGAGTGACTCAAATTATGACTGGGAAAGAGCTGCCTCCTCAAAGTGGTGCCAACCTTAATGATGTGATAGAGTAACACATAGAAGACATTGTGAGTTGCCATTGAGTCAACTCCAGCTCACACCAACCCTGAGCACTAAAGAGCAAAACCCTGCCCAATCTTGTACCATTGTCACAATCTGTGCTGTGCTTAAACCCACTGTCACAGTCATGCCATCAATCCATCACATCGAGCTGTGCTACAGTAGAATATTTTAAAAACAGCTGATGGTGCAAGTGTTAAGTGCCCAGTTGCTAATAAAAAAATGTAAATGTAAATGTAAATTTTAAATTCATCGTTTAAATTCACCTAGCTGCTTCACAGGAGAAAAGAACTAGTGATCTATTCCTACAAAGATTTACAACTCAGAAATCCTATGGGCCATTCAACTCTGTCTGACTCAAAGGCACAGCAATAACTGATATATGGTATTTAAAATCTATATGCAAATATTTGTTAGATACAAATACGGATGAAATGGAACACAAAAGGGTTATCTAATTAGATCTTTTTGTGATCCAAAGGCTAACACTACAAAAATATTGTTCTAAGTTTTCTGAAAATATTTCCAAGATGTGTACTTTCTTTTAGTTTTGATAAACTTAGTCCATAAAATAAGTAAACAACAGACGTTTTACTTATAACCAATATGCACTCTAGGTAAAGTAGAATTATTTTAATTGCCACATAAAACTTCTTCTTGTTGTTGTTGTTAAGTGCTGTCGAGTTGCAGGTGACTCATAGCGACCCTATGAAGGAGAGTCCTTGAAGCTTGGGTGCCTTGTTTCCTTTCTCCAGGTTCATTGGTTTCTGGAGGCAAGCTATTATGGAAGTGGATGCCACTCCTCCTTCCAAGCTCACATAAAACTACCAGTCCTATAATTGGTCTTGAATGCCTATTCTAGTTCTATGACAATGAAGTTATTTATTAAGTTAATTCAGTCAATGCAAAGAAAACAGCATTAATACATTTAAAAAATTTTACATTATCTGTTAGCTTCAAGAGATCAAATTAAATACAGTATTACAATTACCTTGATGAGGGTAGATAAGCATTTCCAATTGTATCTATGTCTTCTAAATGCAAGAAAAAAACTACTTTCTCTTCATTCAGTTTAGAAGACAAAGACTGGTTGATTTTGGCAGCATGAAAAAAGTCCTACATGTGAAAAATTATTTTTAAGATTTCAGTATACTTATTTTGTCAAATAGAAATTTTGATTAAAAATTATTAATTATAGATATAACTATAAATGAAGCTATCTTAGACTATTTAAATTTGTTCTCAGGATCTACAGAACAAAAGTTCTTGACTACAATTTACCAATCTGTACTCAAGTTTTGTATTACAACTTGGTAAAAAAAATAGTTGAAAGAGGATTTGAATTTTATGAAGACTCATACATTGTTTTTCATCTAACGGATACTGCCGTGGACGTGCTCACCAAGTTGTGCCAAGAAATCTGGAGAACAACCACTTGGCCAACTGACTGGAAGAGATCTATATTTGTTCCAATTCCAAAGAAGGATGACCCAACAGAGTGTGGAAACTATAGAACAATCTCATTCATTTCACATGCAAGCAGGATTCTACTGAAGATTAT